ATTCTTCATGGCACACCTTTTATTGAGGAGGGACTTAAATAAGATGGTTTCCAAAGTCTTCTCCAAGTCACTAAAACTATGAAAGCACAATAAAGCCAGTAGTATGTGTCAGGAGAAACTACAGATGGTGAGCATTCTTGAAATGACAGGTCTTTTTGTTTCTTTCTCCTGGCAGGAAACTAATCCATTTGGGGTTGTACTCTGTGTCTTATGGGAAACAGCAGAAAGCCCCGTGCACATAGCTCACATCAGTGTTGGGTTGGAAATCTGGAAGTCCATACATGCAGCAGTGTTGGATTTGTTCTCTCATCGTTCTCCCCTCCACCAGTGATAATCACATTTATCACTCTCTTTCCATAGCAGCACAGGAAGTTGCATTCAAGAGGGAGGAACACTCAGGTTGACGAGACCAAGCGTTCCTGGGAGCTTATGAGAGTTTGGGGAAAATCCAGGAAGTTGGACTTTCTATTTATGATTGGCTGGACAATTGGATTAGTGTTATTCAAACAAAATGTTGAGCCACTCAAGCTGTGGGAGGAAGACTTTAGTGGTATTTGTGGTGCTCTGGGAAATGACTTGAATAGCAGCACTGAGGCCACCCAGAAGAACCATAATTAACACACACCCTCCCAACTCTCTCCCTTATTCTACCAGCTACTGATGGGAATAGGCTACCCTGTGCCAGATCAGGCACGGGGTAATAGCAAGCTTTCTCCTCCTCCTGACCTGAAGGATTTAGAAGGTCATCTAACTGTGACTGTTAGTTCTCCAAGTGTGTTTCACGTAAGATAGATTTTCTCATTGTTTCAAACAGAAAAACAAGCTATAACTCTGTATTTCACTATGAGCAAGTACCACAAAGATGAGTACAATTTTGGGAAAATAATTCAATCTATTGGCTTCTATAGGAAAAGAACCTTGCACAGCTGTGTGAGGACTGTCTCTGACAATTCTATGTAGAAAGACTGACATATGAATCAGCCTTTAGTATTATTTTGGGGATGGGGATGGGGAAGCAGGAAGGAACATCCTCTGTCCACTATTCCAGCAGCTCTTCATCTCTTCTCATGTTTGAATTGTTCCAAATGTGAAAAGAAAAGTAATACATATACTGTTTTCTAAATTACCAAACAAAGGATTACAGACACACACATATATAAACACAATAGATTTACTGAAGGCGTGATTGCCCTGGTATTTGCCTATCTGTAACTGCGTGGCACTCTGGATGCCCAAGGAGTTTCTGCAGGCATTCTTGTCAATGTGAGAAAGAGAGGATCTTGGCAAGCCAAGCTGGCTGTTGCATTCTTCAGCCCATGAAGATACAGAAAAGTCAAGTTTGAGCACAAGGGACACTGAAGGTTACTTTGTGCTGGATTGGGGCTTCTGCTAAGCCTGTATCTGAAATGTTGAAAATCTAAAATACCGTCTTGGTCAAATTGTAGTACTAAGCATGGATCTGGTTACTTGCAGACTGTTTAATCTCACCATCTCAGTAAGCCTTTTCTTGTGCTTTTACATTTTTGTTTGTAGGAAGGAACAAAAAATAAAATAAAACCTGTGATTAACCAGGGAGGGGGGGAAAACTGACAGTCATCTGCAGGTGATCAAATGACTTGAGAGACCTGGTTTTCATTTGTGTGTGGTTCTCACTGTAACAAAGGAAACTTGCTTTTTTTTGTAGAATTGGCAGACTTTTTCCCAACATCTGGACTGAATGAAGTCTGAGACCACATCAGTTGTGTTTTGCCGCAAAAAATCTTTGATCTTCAAAATCCAGACTGAAAGAAGTGCAGCTTGATATCACTGCATTGGGGAGGGAAGCGTGTAGGCTCTGTTTAAGAACATGGTGAAACTCTATCAACTTTTGTGCTCCATTGGAGCATTTCTGCTGTTCTTTTCTATCCTTTTTATTAAGCGAGAGGTCTGTAAAAACAGAGTTGCACAGAGTTTCCCATCTTCCTTGTTCGGAATATGGAAAAAGAACTTCATGGCTGTTTCCAAGGACAGTGGAGCATCATTCAGAGATCATTTTTAAGTCTGGCATTTTTGTAACCATCGCTTTTAAAACGTTTTAAAACCATTTCTCCTGCTGGGCCGTTTAGTGGCAGGTGATGACTAGAGGGACTGCAAGGGTTGTTTCTTTCAGCTAACGTAGTCCAACTCCTGAAACCCTGGAGTAGCATGTATTATGTGCATGCTCATATAACACATGCTTAGTACCAGCATGTTTCCTATGAATTGTAGCAGACATTATGTATAGAATCAAAAGGGGGGGGTTGCCACCCTCAAATACAAATTTTGAATTCTTAAAATTAATGGCATCTGTCCTCCTCCTCCTCTTTCCCCGCTCTTTTTCTTAATAGATCTAGTGCATTGTTTTTATTCATAAAAGAAGTTAGGAGTCAGTTCTGTACACGTAATCCCCGGGTTAAGAACACCCGGTTTACGGACGACCCAGAGTTCAGAACGGAGCCTATCGTAGCCAAATTTGAGTGAAATGCACAAGGGTTCGAGTTCATTACCCAATACTACTTATACAGTATTATACAATCATACTGTTCTGGCTTATACATAAATTTGACTTAAGGACAGACCTTGGGAATGGAATTTGATCTTAAGCTGGGGACTACCTATATTCCATAGACAGATTTATTTATTACAGTAGATGCCTTTTATGTAGAGAATTATCAGAACAAAACATTTGGTTTGATATGCCTATGAAAGACACATGTATTTTAATTCATATTGCAGTATTAAATATTGCACTTGCTACATAGCATCTTCCAGCTTTATTCATTCTTCTCAATTGAAGATCGTTCTGGCAACTGTGTCTGTTGTGTAGCACGAAAGGCTAGAAGAATTGTAGGGGTACATCACATTTTCTCCCTAAATAGAAACAGTGACAAGGCCGGAATCAGAAGAGGGAGATGGCCCTGGGCATTTTGATGGAGAGGACGATGCTGTCATTGCCAGCGCAGCCCTGGGGTGGGAAGCAAGTGAAAGAGAAGCAGCGTTTCAGTGCTGAGGATCACCAGTTTGCACAGAGCAGCTGTTAGGCAAAGCCCGGTGGCAAAGCATATTACTCAAATGCTAATTAGCCAGAAGCAACCTGGCAGCATTTTGAATGGTTTGCAGTGGGCAGTGGAGGCTGAGAACATGCTTGTTTCAGTTTTGTTGAAATAAGTCTAGTTTCTTCCCTTCTCTTGCCTTTGGATTCCCAGATTTCTTCAGCGCAGTGCTTTGTTCCCTGGTCGGGAGGTAGACTGAGGCATCTTGGGGCTTGAAAACAAGGCTGAGAAGAACACAGGAGAACTGAGGGGGGCGTTGCGGACAAGGTGGTCTAGGAAATTCTGAACTCCTCCCTACCAGACAATTTCCAGTCATTGCTTGAAGACCTCTAACAAAAGGAAGTGCACCCCCCTCACCTTTGAGTGGAGACCTGGCCCTCCAGATATTGCTGATCTACAGTTATGGCACCGCCCCCCACCTTTGGCCACACCAGGAGCTGCAGTGTCGCAATATGTAGAGGAGCATGTATTTCCCACTCCTCTCCTTGGTAGTTGGCCACCATGAAGAAGTTTCAAAATATCCTTGAAGTTGGCTGAATAGAGTCTGGCTCTCTGGGCAATATGGGATAAATCTGTGTGCACTCTTTAAGTAGCTAGAAGGAAAATGTCCCCATGGCACTGATGAAGCCAGTTGACAGTGGGAGTGGGTTGCTGCTGAGTCATGTTAACAAGCAAACATTTTAACAAACATTCTATAAGCTAAAACTCTGAGGGGGGGTGGGCCATTTATTATAGATGAATACTATGCTTCTGTTCAAAAAGTCAGTTGGATTCACTTTCAAAGTATAAATCGATTAACTATGAAAGGTGCAGTAAACCAGCTCATGATGCCAGCAAACAAAGCCTTTCTGGACTTGTAAAGCTTTGCCAATTGAAACTTAGAACAGATAATTCTGGTATAAGTCATTCTGCCTGCATTTATGTGAGATTATGCTCTTCTTTGGATAGGTACATTCTGTGTCTCCTAGAAATGAAGTGAAAACAAAACTGAGTTGCTTTTAGTTCAGATTTTGCTTAAAGGAGTGGGTCTAGATCAACCCTCTGTCCAATGTAGGAATCCGCAGCTTCGTCCACTACCATACACCCCTTCAGTGACTGAGAGTCTGTCTACCACCTCCCAAGAAAGTCTGTTCCACTGTTGAATTACTCTTACCATTAGGAATTTTTCCTGATATGCAACTGAAATCTGCATCCTTGTGATTTAAGCTCTTTATTTTTGTTTTGTCTTCTGGAATGACTTTGCAAAGCCTATGACCACCCTTCAGGTACTTCAAAAGAGCCATCAGGTCTCCCTGAAGCTTTCTCTTCTCCAGGCTAAACACACCCAGCACTTCTAACCATTCCTCATGGATTTTTCCTCCCTGGCTTCTTCTCATCTCAGTTGTTCTCTGGACATGCTCCATGTTGTCAGTATCCTTCCTAAAATGCAATGCCCAGAACTGGATGCAGTATTCTAGCTGTGGCCTGAATAACAGAGGATAGAGAGGAATTATGACTCTATGTTGCTATTGATAAAGCCTAGGATTACATCTTCTTTTGCAGCTGCATCACCCTGAAGGCTTATATTTAGTATGTGATCCACCAAGACACCCAGAAAGTCTTATTATTGGCTTTTGCCCGTTGTTCCAGCTTGTCAAGGCCCTTCTCAAGATCATCTGTCTTTTCCCCCCCTGTTACTGTAAATTTCAGTAATTGCTCACATTTTAAGCGCTGTGAAAGATTTTGTGCTTGCTCAGCAGAGTCATCCCTTTAGCTTTTCTCATTCTGCCAGCTTGAATTAGCATCCCAAGAGAGCAGGAAGAAGTTCCCAGAAGTTCTCCACTCGGAGACTGGAGACTTCATATTCTGCTGTGCTTCTCTCGTTCTTTTAAGCTCCACTTGATTATGACTGGACCCTTTCAGCTGTTATATATTTGTGTTTTTCTCCCTTTTGTGTCACGGGTTTAGGTCTATGCGCCTTCTCCTAATTCAGATGACTTTAATAGAGAATCTCCAAGTTATCCATCTCCTAAACCACCAAGCAGTATGTTTGCTAGCACTTTCTTTTTACAAGGTAAGAACGTTTTTTGCTGATAAATAGCATTAATAACCAAAAAAATATGGGGGGAATATAATTAACATAATTTATTTTGTTTATGCTGCCTGAAGTTAAGAGTATCATGATATTCATAGGATGTGAAATGTGAAAGGCATGCCTTAAACTAGATCTGATTAGCAGAGTTTATATTGACAGTTGGGCTTGTCTGTTCTGTCCTGAGTAGGCGAGGTGAACGTTGATGAAGCTGTAGAGGCACAGCATCTGTTCACAATGCGCCAGCTCAGCAGCTGATCCAAACCCACTCCCGTTCACTTTATGACCTCTCCCCCCTACCCCTTATGGAATAACTGCAACAGCATCACTGTTCTCAGTGGCTGAAGGAGGTCATCTCAGCTGGCTTGCCTTTTTCTGGATTCTTAAGCCCATGTCTGTTGTATTAATTTAATCAGATGTTTAACCTGCTTCTTAGCAAAAATGTTCCTGAGGAGGTGAGCATAAAATACAGAACGTTGTGAGGTAAAACAAAATTAAAAGAGCAGTGGCAACAACAATTGCAGTTCTGCATCCTTTGTATAACAGCTGGGTTTACAGTGGTGGTTTGTTTCCACCTGAATCAAGGAGGTTTCTTGTGGCAATTGCTTCTCTTACTGCAATAAGGTGTCACTACTATACATCTTAAAGCAGAGAGGTTGTGTAATTGTGCAGAAGCTCTCATGAATCCAGACCAAGTTGAAAAGGCCAGTCCAAGACCCTGAAATTGTGTTTGCCGGGACACACACCACTGTCAGATCCTTTTCTTATTTTTTTCAGTTTCTCCTCTAAGGAACTAAGATCTGACAGTCACACAATGTGCCAACTCTGTTCTTTTGCCATAGCTTTTGTGTGCTTGGTGCTGGGTTGTCCTTGGCTGGTGAACAGGCTTCAGACTATTCGCTGAAGGTACTTGAAGCATTTGGACTTCTGATTCCTGTTCGATTTTCTCTGGGAAATGCTGCTTTGCTCTGCAAGGCTCAGAAACCAAAAAAGTGACGTTATAACCCAGAGTCAAACTTAACATGGCTAGACAGTAATATATCAAAAATCCTTTCCTCCTCCAACAGTTGAAGCCAGTATGGTGGAAGGAGAAGCCATCTTGTACGCTTGGAGCAGGTGCCTCCCAGGCCCAAGGCTGGGAAAAAAAGAGCCCAAAGTCCACTGAGTTGAAAGGGTGGGAGGAAGAAGCTTAAAAATGAAATCCTCGGGCAGACAGATATGTGGGCTTGCTTTCTGTATTCTGCAGCAGGCAGCTCTTCTGCATATTTATCACTTCTTACCTTCCATTATCAAGCCTGTGGAGGTCTGCTCTTTGCCTGTTCCTGAATGCAGGGGTAAGTTTCTGGTGAGTAGAGATTTATAGCTGTGCCTGACCAGAAGCCTCATGCCTTCTGTCTTTTATTTTTATCAAACAATAAACAATAAAGATGGGAACCACAGTGCTTCTGAACTTTGGAGCCCCTCCAATGGAATGAGCCAATCGGGTTATGGAGGAATACTGGAAAGTTCTTCTCACCTGTCGCCCTCCAGTAGTTACAACAGTCGACACCCCCACGAGCGCCTGGTAAGATGGTGATGATGATGATGATGATGATGATGGCAGCAATGCCATGTGTTCCTGTACAGTCAGTTAAAGCAGAGGCAGTGGGAAAATAAATAAACATTTACAGTGGTCTGCCTGATATTTGGGGAAAGTTTGTGTATATAATGGAAAGGCTGGGAAATTCCTCTGGATCATGACAGACCAACCATTCTGGGTATGGTTCGGAGTTTTCAGGAAGTTAGTCTCCCAAACCAGAAGAGTTTCTAGTATTTAGACATGGTCTGGCATCCTCCCCTGAGATGGTAGGTTTTGCACAGGCACGATAGGGCTGTGCAGCAATTCAGATTTGTAGGGAGAAAGTTGATTCACAGCTTGCTTGTCTCTATACATGACACCTGTTGGCATCTCAGTTTAATCAAACATGGCTTTTTGTGCAAGTGTGTATGTGTGCGTGTATGTTCAGAATCATCCATTTCCCCTTTGAATCCAGTTTGCTGCATAGCTGTACAGGTAGTCCTTGCCTAATGACCGTTCATTTAACGATGGTTCAAAATTACAGTGGCCTTGGAAAAACTACTTTACAACCTGTACTCACACTTACGACCATCGCAAACCAACTGTTGCACCACCCCCTGTGGTCGTGTGATCGCGATTTGTGACCTTTTTTAAAACAGCCATTAACCGAATCACATGGTCGTTAATTCCGGCAAAAAGGTCCATTGGAGAAGCTGGATTCACTTAATGTCCACGTGATTCATTTAACAACTGTCATAAAGATGGTCATAAAATCAGGCCTGGTCATGTGACTCGCTTAACAGCTGCCCCACTTAATGACCAATTTCCTGATCCTTATTGTCATTAAGTGAGGACTACCTGTAATAGGTAATTCTTATCAATTTGGTCAAGGTGCCTTAAAATTATGCCAAAAAAAAAAAATCTGGCTAGTCATCAAGCAGAATTTTTATAATATATGAATATGAAAAGTGAAGACTTCTTAGAATGTGTTTTGAATATGGTGCTTGGTACTATTTATATTTTCCACGACAGTCAAATTTGCCAATAACGGCATATCATTGAGAGCTCTCTACACTGGATGACTGAGCAACAGAAACAACTTCAGCATAAGCGCAAAGTTACAGACACAAGAATGAAAAAATCTAGAGTTGCATATTTGTTCTACAGTCACACAATTCAGATATCTCAGGGTTTTAATAGAAACTTTTGTGAGCATTGGGCTCATGTTTTCCTTTTGTTCACAAGTGTGGATGCTGTAGCCCGTTACATCTGAGCTTGCTAAACTAAGAACTGTTAAAATAAGCTTTGTAGTTGGTTACCAGCATCCCGAGGGGTTCTGAATTTCAGTTACGATAAACAGCTGGAGAGGCGTCTGCAGAGCGATGGGGACCCTACAGGTCTGGAGTATTTCCATGTGATGGAGAAGGAGAGTTTCCTGTTTCCTCCAAACTGGCCCTCCTCCTTCATGCAGCAGGCATTGACTGTGATGCCCAATCATAAAATCTCACAGAGACGATACGCCTCTGATTGTGGAGTACAGAGGCAAGTGGAACAGCTGTCAGAGACATCTTTCTGCCCTTTGCTTCATGAACTTTGGTTTAGCCCAGCGTGACCACTGTGATCTTTTTGACTTGCTGAGAGTTTGGGGTTGCTTTGAATTTTGTTAATATGAAATTGGCGCTCGTGTTTCCTCCTTGTGTTGTGATTCCAGTTTCTGCTTTCTCCTAGAGCTACCCCCCTCACTCAGTCTCACCAACAGACGTAAGCACCAGTCTTCCGCCCATGTCTAGCTTCCACCGGGGCAGTAGCAGTAACTCCTTATATGCTGCCGCCACCTCTCATACTCCACCAGTCAATGGATCAGATTCCAACGTGCTTGGTAAGATTTTTGAGTCCCGAAATTGTTCATAGAAATTATAGCTCATTTAGACTTGAAGACGGTTAAGTTGTGACAGTATAATTATCTGCTAAAACTGTAAAGAGGATTAGTCAGGTGAAAGGTTCATGTGGTGGATGTTGGTATTTTCAGAGTTGGACTGGAGTCTTTTCAGATCTCTCTTAATTTGGTCTCCATTCTGAGAGCACAGCCTAGAAAACATTTTTCATGCTTGTGGATCCATTCACGAAGCCGGTGTGATGGATCTTGGATGGCATTATATGTTGATCTGCACATTATTTCTGCACTGCTCCAAAATAAATACACGATAGACAAATTTTAAACAGTGATTGGACCAGGAATAATTTATCCTTGATGGTAGTTGCAATATGGTTATGACTTCTATTCAGGAAGAATGTACATTTAACTAACAAGCAAACATCCTCTTCCTTGCTCAATTTTTCCCAAAATCCCAGATTTTTAGGAGATCTAATTCAGGTGACATTTCAGTTTATTCATGGATTGTGTGTGTTTTGTGCACTTTGATTGGTGATTCTGAAGTCCTTTTAATAGTTACCACGATTTCTCTAAAAGATATGTGTTTTAAAAAAAAAAAGAATCTGAGGACTCATCGGCCTCAGTGATGAACTCTTGTTGTTTTAAGCAGTGTGTTTTTGGCTGGGTAATTTAACTCAGCTGTTCCAAATTATGTATTTGTGTAAACGTCATCCTGAAATGCTGTGCGGTGCTTACCCAGCATGAGGGTACCAGTGTGGTAGTCTTGGGCTAAATAGAGTTGGTTGGGCAGTTGTGTTTTCCTAGCTTGAACAATACTGCCCTGCAGGACCGCTCCTTGAGGATCGGATCGCCCCAGCAGCTTCGATGTTCGTTCTCATTTGCACTGATAGCCTGGCAGACAGCAAAACTGGGTCTGTAGACAGAGAGGAACCCGTTCATGTACACAAGCACACACATTGCTCACCTCAGAAAAACATCAGCAATGAAGATGGACCGTGTCTCTCGACATTGGATCATTATCTCAGAGTGGCTAAACAGACGACTTGGAAGAAAAAGAAGTGGACGTTTTGCCTGAAGATCTTTGAAAACAGGAACATACCTATCTAGTCTAGCGTTCTCTTCCCACAGTGGCCATTCTGTAGGAAGCCCATATCCAGGACCCTGAATTTGCCTAAGTTAATCAACCTTCTCTTTCATAAAGATTAAATGCTGCAGCCAGATCTGGCATTCAGACCTAAAGTTACTTCTGTTTTCCATAGATTTTGGACATGCCACTACCAATCTTCTAATCTCCCTCACCTGAAGGGTACAGCAGAACTTGGGCGTTTGAAGGGCCCTTGGATTCTTTATAGGCAGAACTAAGATTCACAGAGAAACTGCAAGGTTGATGTCCTCACCGAGGTCAGAGTTTCTGCTTCTGCCATTGCCAGATGGCTCAGAGAGAGAACGCCTCAAGGTCTTACCCCTTCCAGGCCAGGGGTAAGACTTCTCTAAAGGACATCAAAGTCCATTCCTCATAACATGTAGTCATTTTAGTTACTCTGTCAGGGAAATTCAGGATGTTTTAGATTTGGGTCTCCTGCACTGATTGGGGATTGGAGTAAATGGGCTGCGAGGCCTCTTTGAATTCAACAATCAAGTCATTGCCTTGACACACTGACATGCATTTTTAAAGCATGACAATGCTGCATTTGAAAAGGTTGCAAATGAGTATATGTAAGACCTATCTTAGAGACACATTGCATTTTAAATCCCAGATATGAATATTGTCTTAGCCCTGTACCACTGGAGAAAATAATGTTTGGATTTGCATTTTAATAAGACTGGGATAGGGCAGTCTGCCTACCTAACTCCCTAAAACAGACAGTGATCCATGGCACAACTCAAAATGGGTTAGAATAGGTGAGCACGCTGGAGGTGATGGCCCATCGTTTCACCAAGTTCTGGGACTTCTGGAACCACTGTATTCCATTGGTCTTACTACATTGGTCTGAGTCGTGTACTGGAGGCAGAAGGCAGAAATACATTTCTGTATAAACTAATTCAGTGGATGCTTTGGGGCTCTATTATTGGCTGTAGGTTGGGAAAGTTTGCTTTCTGGCACTCTTTGAAGAAAGCCCCTTCTCTTAGCATCTTTGCAAACTAACCTTGCCTGTAACTAAGAGGATGTGCTTTCCCCAAAATGAAGGCCCCACTGAGAACAGCAATTCACAGGTAAATCCCAATATCCCTTTTTGATCTCTCTCTTCCTCTCCCCCAGTTTTGCTCTGGAAGTCATTTAGTCCTGTTAAATACTGGCATGTTGTTTTCATCATCTGCACCGCATCAATATCGTGTTGCCTTTTTCTTTATAGTTAATAGAGGGAATCCTGCTGGAAGTTCGCAGACTGGGGATGCCCTTGGAAAAGCTTTGGCCTCTGTAAGTAATTGTATGTGGAACAATCATATGAATGACACAAACTCCATATACAAAGTCTTGCCTTTCTGATTGCCTCAAGTGGATATCAGTGAACAAGATCAGAATTTGTGTACATTGTCTGTGGCAAGGCAACCCCAGTGTGATCTGGTTTGAGAGTGACATTTACTGTGTAAACAAACGGGATCCGTTGAAGTTGTGACTGGTGTTCAAGCGTCCATTCACACATAAAGCTCTGGTCAGGTGCAGTGCATGCAGATATAGCCACAGAACTCGTCTTCTTGGAACAGAAAGGTTAGTTCAGTTACACAAGTCTCCAGATTCCAAAGTAGCAGGAGTCCTCTCTTCTCCACTGATAGAGGCCTATGCAGACAGAGGGGAATGCACACAGGGAGTAGTGGAAAACAAGATGCAAGACCCAAAGCAAAAGACAAATTGATTAAATAAATATGTATAGTAAAATTGCATTGCTGAAGGCTGTGGGTTTCCAAAGACGTCTGGAGACCTCTTCAGTTCAAGGTTGTTTCTTAAATGCAGTTTATATGTAAGCCATGACCCTTGCAAAAACTCCACTCTAGATCTACAACTGGTAGTGGCTGGTAAAATGGAGGAGCATAGCGCACAGGGAAGCTGTTTGTTGTCCAGAGGTTAAGAAAATCATCTGTAGTCGCAAGGTTTTTACCACGTAAGTGTGATAGATGTATATATTTAAACTATGTATTAAGTGTTTGCTGGGAGGGTGCAATTTACTAGGGTGAATAAGGCTCTTTTTACAATTGTTGACAGTTCCCAGCTAAATTCATCATGAGAAATACATTATGTGATGAACTGCATGGAATATGCTTTAGTTGAGTGTTTCAGCTACCTTGCCTGTAGCAGCTCTGCACTAAAGTTTTCCTTGGCAAAGTCATTTTAACAAAACATCCTCCCTGGGTTGGTTCACTCAACACAAGAGCCAGTTTTATTAGATGGCCCCTTTCAGAAAGAAGTGGGAGGAAGGGGGCTTAAGGTCTTAATCCCTCTCCCTGAGTGACTGTTAAGATTTGCCCACTTGCTACTCAGAGAAAGGGCAGATCCTCTTGGAAAAGTTGCTGATCTATAACTTTGAATACAGCTATAGTTTAGTAAGAGTCCAGTATGAAAGGGTACAACTAGTTGGAGGGGCAGAAGAGAGGAGTTTAATGTAGCAGCACAATTGATTGTAGGTATCTTGCGTGCTGATAACCAAGCAGGTTTGCGTAACTGGAAGAAAGATTGAGGGCTGTGATAATGAAGCCCTCCACCTTCTCGTTGCTCCGTTGCTGCATGAGTAAGCAAGTCAATTCATAAATATTCCATCTTGGCTGATAGAGAGAGAGCCCATCTGCCTCATCAGCCCTTGCTGTAGCCAGCACCCTAGCAACCCTCAACTTCCACCCACATGGCCTGCTCTTTCCTGGGTGGAACATGGAGATATGCGTATGCTGCTCTCCGCTACTCTTGAGGAAGGAAGAATATGAGTGAAGGAATCTCGCTACTTTTGTTCTTTTGCTTTTAACTTTTCTGATGTAGTACTTAAACCATCCTGAAATTGTAAAGATGCTGCCTTTCCCTTCCTTTTAAATGTTGCCATTAATAGCAAAAATAAGATTGGGTCTGGCGTGGTGCTTTTTTGAAAAAGGGTTTACATGTGAAACAAAATGAAGCCCTGTGAAATAACAGGATGCAACGCTTGTTTCTGAGTCTAAATATTAAAGAACTTACAAAATACTTCATGGTTAAAGAAGAAAGGTCAGATAATACATTTGCAAAGGTCCTTTTATTTTAGATTTAAGCCAGGATAATTGCAGTCCTAATCTTAGAGCAGGAAAGAAAGAGAATTGTACACGAAAGTATTTACACAAAGCTCTCAAAGCCCAGCGGATTATACATTGGTTTGGATAATGAACTAGTGTCGATAGAAAGCAAAGAAAATCTGGGCATTTCTGCCATTTCTAATGTGTCTCCCTGAACATTTGCCAAACAATAACCCTTAAGATTGTGCCCATAGGGGGTTATATGGTGGGAGAAGCATCTGGTTTATGTCAGTGTTTAATGCCAAATCAAAACACTTGGTCTTTAATTTAAGGAAGATCAAAGCAGAGGGCTTTTTAAATGTTGTTGAGTCTCTTTGTCAGAACCTGGGTTTCAATTCCTACCTCCAGTCCAGAGAGAGCGGCCTTTGTGCAGCTTAGATAGCTCAGGGGCTCATAGTCCCTGAACAAAAGAGAGGAAAAGGTTGGGAAGTTGACTTTTCCAAGTGATTCTTGAATGGCTTTTGTTGCTTGAGGCCCAGTGCTGCTAGCAGCATGAAATGGGCGCTGCAGTACTTAAGACCCTGTGTTAACAGCTCAGAGCCTGGCGCTGCAGTCTTGGTAAGAAGCTGTCTGCATTTGAGCAGAGCGCATTGGAACCAACCTGGAGCAAGAAAAAGTTGTCTTTTGTTTGTTGTAAGAAAATGAGCCTTGGAGCCTCGTAGGAAGCCTTAGTTATTCTTTGATTGTTGGGAGCCACCCAGAATCGTCATGAGTCAGGCAGCATACAAGTTTTATTATTATTTTTATAGTTGGTCGCACAGACAGCCAGGTGTTGTTGTTGTTATCCACCAGAAACATCTGGTTAAATATGAACAGAGGTGCTCTAGATGTTGTCTTAAAAACTTTATAACATAGACAAAGCCAGTGGTTAGGAGATACAGATACCTCCAAGAAGATTAATAATCTTTTTCTAACTCTGGAAATTAAAATTACCTTGCCCCCTATCATCATCACCTCTTGCACATTCCGTCCTCTTCCTCAGTAGAGGGTAGGGAGAAATATTCAAGCTTTTCTTTCTGGTGTTAATTAGCTAAAGTTGCTGTATTCTCCAGTCTTGGACAAGCTAGTCAGCCTTAACTGTGGATAATGGAAACAAGCTGGCTTCATTTATGAAGCTACCTTCTCTTTACTAATTAATGGGATTTGTATGAGATATTAACTTGTGATTAATTGAAATGAATCCCTCCTACAGCCAAGTGAGGGAAATGGAAGTATCTGTGATGGAATGGTGTTATGAAGGCCATGCTCAGGGAGATAAGCGTTTCCTTAGCCCCCAGCAGGAGCATGGGAAGTTTAAGAAGATGAGACTGGCACCACCCTAAGGAATTCACAGTGTTGTGGCTTGCTGGCTTGGGAACTTAGGTTCAGTCTGGAGAAATTTCTGTCTTGAGGTGGAAGCTAATAAACGCAACAGAACTGTATCAGAGATTGATGTCAGGCTCAGCCCAAAGAACTCAACGAGACAGTGCAAATACAGTTCTGTTGCATTTATTAGCTTCCACCTCAAGACAGAAATTTCTCCAGACTGAACCTAAGTTCCCAAGCCAGCATGCCAAAACACTGTGAATTCCTTAAGACGGTGCCAGTCTCATCTTCTTAAACTTCCCATGCTCCTGCTGTGGGCTAAGGAAACGCTTATCTCCCTGAGCATGGCCTTCATAACACCATTCCATCACAGTATCAGCTTCCACCTCAAGACAGAAATTTCTCCAGACTGAACCTAAGTTCCCAAGCCAGCATGCCAAAACACTGTGAATTCCTTAAGACGGTGCCAGTCTCATCTTCTTAAACTTCCCATGCTCCTGCTGTGGGCTAAGGAAACGCTTATCTCCCTGAGCATGGCCTTCATAACACCATTCCATCACAGTATCATTGGTAACACCATATCCCATTTTAGCAGGTCTGAACAGAAACATTGTACTTTTAATCTACCCATCAGGGTTTATTTTGATTTCAAATCTCCTTTTGCTTTTGCATATGGCAATCAATATGTAGGTCTGTTCTTCCATGTAGAAAGAAGTATATTTGCATGGCAAGCAATAAAGTATTTTGCAGGATTATATATCCTCCGAGAACTTTGCCTTTTTTAAGTGAATGAAAGTGAAATGCACAGATTTATCCTGGGGCTTGTTTAAATCTCCCATATTTTGTTGCTAGTCAGGTGTGCATTTATTTAAGGATTATAGTAGCAATGGAAACTATTGTACAAGGGATATGGGAACTGCATTTTGGGAGAGAATCACAGTGAATTACAGTTATATTGATAAAGCTTTCGAAGTTACCAGGTTGAATATTTCTAGGCATTTTATTTTCTTCAATTGTTGTTCAACTGAATTTTTCCTAGTGTGTATAGTTTCCAGCATATCAAATAGTTCAAATGGCTACATTTAGATTGTATTTTTTTCTTTTCTTTCAGATTTATTCTCCTGACCACACTAGCAGTAGTTTTCCTTCAAATCCCTCAACACCCGTTGGATCACCATCATCTCTCACAGGTAGTATCCTTTTTTTTTTTTTTTACCAAGATTAAGTATATTCTTCTATCTTTTTTCTTAACACCAGTCCTAAGGACAGATTTATGTGCATTTCTGAAGGTGACATGGTGTTTGTTTGCTCCTTGATTGATCAATTATCTTTCTAGAACCACCCAACTCCAAAACAAATGAAAAAAGAAAGAAAACTCACAGGATCCAGAAAGGTGATAGTCGCCCTGAGGGAACAGTAGAAACCCCTTTCCCATTCAGTGCCCGACCTCAAGGGGCCCGATAACCACCCAGGCCCAGCATGAAGAGGAGCCCATTTTTTCAAGACTTGCTTAAGAAAGGCAGGGCTGGGGCTGTTCAGATCTCAGGGAGTGGTTCCAGAGGACAGGTAATGCAACAGAGAAAACAGGTAACCCAGTGGGATAGTCTGCCAGATTTCTTTCAAGCCAACAGAATGGTTCCCGTGCTGTGCTACCAGGCCCAGGCATCTGCAATTCCCTGCCTGCCCACCCATGGCCTCCACTTGATGTTTGGGACTGCCATCCCTGTGGAGCAGGTTCCATAATGCTGTACGCTCAGGGTGCTGATAAGCTGTACAGGACGGTGGGTTCTTGTTACTTCTAAATAGCTGAAATGGATTAGATCTAGATCTTGTGTTGCCTATAGTTATGTTTCTTCAGAGTTACCATGGTCATGTTCATTTCTGCGTTGTTTGCCTTCTCCTGCATTTCTCTCCCAGAGGGCAGCCTCTGCCTCTGAAGCATGTAGTCAAAGCAGACTCCGTTGGGGCTGCTGCAGAGGGAAGGTCTCTCCTTCCACTCAAGGGGAGGCCAAGGATCAGCAGATCATCATAGCCCAATTTCTTTCTGCTGTGTTGCGATGCCAGGTAACACGCACTGGTGGTTATAAGGCAAGAAACCGGGCCATCCCTTCCTTTTCTCTGGCCCCAACAGTCAGTAGATAGTGTGCCAAGGAGTGCCTGAGGCAAGGGTAGTGTAGCGACTTCAACCTCGTGGAACAGCTGGAAATGAGAGGAACAAGGAACTGGCCTTGCAGCTAAGTCACTTATGAAGCAGTTTGGATAATATTTGCAAGTACTTCAAAGACCTGCCAAGGACCATAGCAGCACTCTTGCCATAGGAAAATTAAGGTTGTCATTAAGGTTGAGTAACTTTATAGTAATGTCAACATCTGGGTTCAGAGGATTTAAGGAAAATGTTGGATTAACTCTATCCAAAGATAATGGAGTCGCTCCTAATAATGTTAAAAAAGCGGACACTGAGCTTGAATCTGTATTTGGAAAGGTATTTATATTTCTTAGCCTAATCTTTTCTGAAAAAGAAAAGAGACCTGGAATGGCAACATTCTTGGTCTCAGATGCTTTTTTGAAATCTTGCAAGAACTGGTTTTCTAGCATAGAGCTACGCTCTGGCAGCAGTGTCGTTCTTAGTGGGGACTGTTGCGTCCATGGACATGTGGGTCTCAGTTCTCTGGTAAACGTCAAACAGCTGTTGAGCACACATGGAAGACTTATGAATGCCCCATTGACCACCATTTGCTATTTAACAAGGAATCGGCGCTAATGGCTGAACAACGTCACTCTTAAAGCATGTAGCTTCTATAATATGTTCTAGAGACCCATTTACAAATGCCTCTGTGCCTCATTTTCCAGTATGTGACATGTCTACACAACCGGATCACTGCTAAATCTGGCAACTGTCCTGGTCTGGAGCAGGTTTCTTGATAACATGAAGAGGAGGCAATCGAGCCACCCAATCCCCTCTGCTTGCTTATTTCCCCAAAAGCTACCAGCCAGGTGTCCTTGTCTTTCTGTGTAGTGTGTCTAGACAGGACAAAAAGTGTGCTGCTGCTGCTGGCTGCTGCTGCTGCTGCTGCTGCTGCTGCTGCTGCTGCTGCTGGAAGGGTCCTAGCCCCTGCGCCTAGGCTGCTTGAAGCAAAGCGCCCCTGCCAAACACCTCCAGGCCATGAAGATACCTCCCTGGCATGCCATGCCTTAAGGAGAAGGGAGTTCTTTTCCAGGGGAGGAATCACCGGCAATTGTTAGCGGCATTCCCCTGGAAGAGCTTACGCCAACTTTTGCAAGCACAACCAACAGCTCAGTACTGCACTGTTGAGGGGCTCCCATTCAGGACATTGGGAGCCAGTCCTTCTTCTTCTGGGGTGCTTATCCCCCCCACCTGCCCCAGTTGTCAGTCAGCATTCTGTGTTTGGTCCTTGCTGGGCTTCCCAAAGAAACTCATTCCAAACTGTATATAAAAACAATAGAAAGTCTTTTATAAACCAGTAAGACGTTGGCAGCAGTGTGGTCAGTTTCTCCTTTACACACCATGTTTCAGCAGTGTTGATTTTGACAGGTGCTGGTCAGTGGTCAAGAACTGGAGGACAAGCCCCTTCGTCTCCAAGCTATGAAAATTCTTTACACTCCTTGGTAAGACTCTCTGGGCGACTCTGTTGCCAAGAAATGGCTTTCTGGTTTCGTTGAGTAAGAAGGTTAGGAGGGATCTGGTCCTGATTGGCTGTCTCCCCAAGAGCAGGGCAAGCCAGCAGGCTGGGTCTCTCACCATCTCTTCCTTGAGCTTCAGACATTGAGGCTAAAAACAGCTGATTAAGTTGTGGGGTTTTTTTAAGTTCTGCTACTTTTTTATAAGACACCAGCTAGTTCTGAGGATGATAGCTGCAAGAAAAAAACTGGGGGAAAATATGTCATAACTTTTTGTTGTCTTATACTTTTTAATAATTCCTTGAAGAGATTTTTTTTAACCATAATGTAACAGATCTTTATTTATTAAAAGAAATCTTGCTCACACTTATTTCCTCAAACAAAACCAAGATATTTATTTTTGTGTATGTTGTCTTTCAAAACCATTTTCCCAGGAAAGCTTACAGTGCGTTAAAATCGTGGTTCCTTTAAAAAAACAACTAAGCAGTGGTTAAAACTGCAATATAAAAACAAGAGAAGCTTTACCTTTGGGAGGTGTGGGGTTCCTACGTTGATTTGTAAAATTGTGTAAAGCGGCTTTTTTTCTGCTTGCAACTTACATTACTACGTTAGCGTCTGTTTTGTTTATGGACCATTGGTCTCAAAGGGCATTGCAGAATTTGAAAATATGCCAAAAAGACAGTCAGTGTAACTAGAGGCAGGAGAGCACCATTCTGGGCTCTTCAGCACAGAAAAGTTATGGGTAAAGGGGACGTGAGATGGTGTATAGGAGGAAATGGGACGCATCACCATCAACATGAAAGGAGTTTAGGGAAATCCATGGTGGATAAAACTCCTGGTAGTTGCGCGCCGTCCCTGGGTTCGGAGGACTTGGCTGTGGAGAACGGACGAGGAGAGTGCTGGTCTGCTGCCGGAAGAGGGTGGTGGGGATTATGGTAGAAGGCTGTCCCAGCCAGGTGCAGCTGGCAGGCCAGCATTCAAGGTGGAAGAGAAAAATAACATGTACCTATCGATCAAGCTTTTGCGTCTTCTAAAATCTGCCAGGGTAACATTTTTCTCATGCAGCTAACAAGTAGTTACTGTCATCCGTTGCAAATGGATACACGCAGTCTGTAGAGATTGCTACAGTGTACAACATTTTATCTCCTCATTTCTGAGTTTAATTAAATCTTTGTGGAATTAACTTGACTAACCGCTGAGGCTGACGTGCACACCAGCTGTTTACCTCCCCTCTTTATCGTGACTTAACTTGTGCTTTGCTTCCTGTTCTGTCTTGACTTTGCCAGAAAAATCGAGTTGAGCAACAACTTCACGAGCATTTGCAAGATGCTATGTCCTTCTTAAAGGATGTCTGTGAGGTACTATTTCTCTTTAGAGGGTGCCTTTTTTGTTTTTTCCAATTGACTCTACTCACAAGTTTTTAAAAGTAACAGCCCACACCATTTAATATGGCATAGCTGAGGCATCTCTTCCTTCCATCAGTTTGTCTTTTCAACTTGTGGAAAGGCTTTAAGCTTGAACGAGCTTTTGCATACTTTATCTGAATGATCAGTAAATACAGTAGAAAAATGCTGGCATGGAATCAGGGAAATCTGATTCAGGAGGTCAGTTCTAAAAGCAAACTGCTCGTTCTTGACCCCTCTTCCTGCATTTTGCATCATGGCAGTGATGCTGAAATCCCACTCTAAGCTCTTTGGGAAGAGAGCAGGCTCCCAGTGAAGAAGCATGTTGTGGGAGATATGCCCAGCCTACGCCTGCTGGGCTCAGCGTCTTTCGGCTGGGAACAGCTGAGGACCACGGAGGCTCAGCGCTGCTCTCAGGAAAATTAAAGGGGCCGAGGAGAGGTGGTGTACTTTGGGTGGAGAGGAAGAGCTTGCAGGGTGTGAAGAAACCTGGATCCAGTTTTTAACACTGATCTCCTCTGTTTGTTGGCTGTTTACACTCACTGTCATTTGTTGCCTAGAGTTTTGCTTCCCCCCCCCCTTCTTTCTTTTAAGCTTTATTCCAGAATACTAAACAACTTTAGTTTTGTAATTCACTCTCTCTTGTTTTGGAGGCAGAAGTGTTACTCACCCTCTCAAATAGTTGCTGATTGTGCTTCCAGCTGTTTTGGAAGCCCTTCTGATGCGCATTTCACTCGCTGCCTTTCCCGTTTCCCATTGTAGAATGCTTGAGAATAGAATGGAATAAACAGCTGTGTGCTATAAATGACCTTCGTGCACTCCTAACTTCCAACAGCAGTCCCGAATGGAAGATCGCTTGGACAGACTCGACGACGCCATCAATGTGCTGAGAAATCATGCCGTGGGGTCTTCAACGAGCCTGGCAGGTGCCCACGGAGAGATGGAGGGCTTGTTGGGGCCATCCCACAATGGGCCTGTTAGCACCTTGAGTGCCACTTATGGCACGTCCGGCCTTGCCACAGCCAGTAGACAAGCTTCGATGGTGAGGTTCAGATCTTTCCTTAGGAGTCAATCTCTTTTCCCTTTTTTATGATCTCCTTATTTCAGTAGAATTGGTGCGTGAATGTTTGAGGCTGATCAGTACTAGTCATTATTCAGTTGCCAAATTGATCAAGAAACGGAGGAGTAGGAGGAGAGGTTTTAACGAGGACAAGTGTAGAGAAGGGCAGACCTGACATGGTTAGCCAAGTGAACACACTGCAGATTCCAGGTGTATCCTTGTTTGTTTATAGCTCCCTTTTCTACGCCACCCCACCCAAGGTTTCTCTGGGCAGCAGACCAGTCCCCTCTACAAGAACCCATTAGCAGCTGGGCATTTCATAATGAAGGCAGGATTCCACCTAAATCTAATAGCCCTGGTCACTAAGCAGCAGTTTGATTATTGGATATTATACAGCAGTCAGGATGGGTTTCCCTTTCTTCCATTTGTGCATTTAAATTCCATTCATATTAATTAATTCTGGTAAGCATGGGTGGCTTGCTCATGTGTTTTGCTATAGAAGGAGGCCGTGGTGAAGCAAACACTGTGTCCACACGCACAGAAGTTGAAAACTTCATGGTGGAAAAACAAGCTTTATTTGCAGGGAGGGCAGAATTCATAGATCAGATTTGTGTGCAGAGCAATATATATTCTAATCTATTGGATGATTCTCGGTACATTTTCTTCTGAATTCCATTTCCCTGCAGATATTCTGAATCTTTGTTGTCAACCCTTAGTACATTTTGTTTCTTTTGAAGAAATGTTGAGGCACACTGGAACGTAGCTGGTTGCAGATGTGCATGGGCGAAACAGGCCAGCCATCAAATTAAGGAGGAGGGTGGTCAACAAAGATCTAGGCCTGATACTCTTTCAGGCATGTGGTTTGTTGCTCTTGAAAACTGTTTAAAGCATAATATGCCTTTAACCTGGTCTCCTTGGTCTAATGCCAGTGTTTAAATTATGTTTCCTTTTAGCTTTCATCTAAGTTTTGGAAAGCATGACTTCATGAAATAAGTATTTGAATCATGGCTGGGTGAGGCAGTGATTTATACAAAGACTGCTGGTAAAGCTTGTTGCCTTGATCATCAGAGGAGCCAACAGGAAAGAGTTAACTTTATCCTTTGAGAAGGCAGGGCCAATGGAATGGCAACCACCTGCCCCCCCCCCCCCAGCTTTTTCATCCTGGCGAGCAGCTGACCCGCTCGGGGCCACCGGCCAGTTCCCCTACCCAAAGCAAGCAAATGGGAGCAGGCAGTGGGATTGTCAAGCTCCAGCCCAAAGCCAAACAGGAGAGGGGGGACCTTGTGACTGAGCACCCCTTTCTTAATTCCCTTGTTTTTAGTCCAGCCAGCACGCCATGCACCATGACACTTAGAAGGGAGCAAGTCCCTCTGTTTCGTCCCTACTCCTTCTCATGCCCTGCTCCACTCTTTTATGCTGTCATCTCCCTCCCTCCCTCCCTCCCTCTCTCTCTCTCTCTCACACACACACACACACACACACAGCACCACCACATAACAGTACCACTGGGCCCTGGCCAGCTGCCTTCAGGATCTGCTCAGGAAGATGTTAATGGCATTTTTCCCTTCAGAGGCCTTGCAGGAAAATGGATCTGGTCTTAGGGGAAGAAGACACCTATTCTAGCCTGCAGGCTGGGGAAAGGAGAACTTCAAAGTGGGGCCCAGCCCTTTTAGACTGCTCCACTTTATTCACATGAAGGGCAGGTTTGCAGGCAGGAGTTCATAGCGCTGGAGGAAGAAACAAGGATAAGAGAAACCTATATCCATTGTTGTCATTTGTGTATGTTCCACTGTAGCAGCTTATTTTATTCCTTAGCCAGCTTATGAAAATTCATTTCGTGCATTTTGACTGGGAGTGGGGTGGAGATCTGTTAAATTTTCAGTATTCATTTGGTGAAAAACTTGAGTCATTCAAAGTCACTCACCATCTAGTATTCCACTTTACATTTAGAAGTATATAAATTCCACTAACTAGAGCCGAAAATGAACTAGAGCAACGAAATGCTCTCAGCCAAAATGGGAAAAACAGTCCTTGAGCAGGTCCCTTTCTAAACATTCCAGGGAATTGTTTATTTACGTGTTGATTTTGGGTGGCTTTGTGCCATTTCAGTTGTGCAACTCTAACTAGCATATAAGACTGTGGGTTAGGGTTAGTGGAGGGTCATCTGCCAGAAATGCTGCAGTGGATCCTGCACTAAGCAGGGGGCTGAAATGGAAGAGCTCTGAGAAGGTTCCGTGCAATTCTACGATTCTATGATCAGTCAAGTATAAATATTGTAAGATCGGTATCTTAGTCCACAGTGCATTCCATGCTGCGGTTCTAGTAAGGGCACCATGGCTCCTTCAGGTGCAGCCTCTCACTTCACTATCCCACAAGCTCTTTGGAAAAGCCATATTTTCTGTTCCTTCCTGAACATCAGCAACAAGGGTGCCGATCTTGCTTCTGGCAGGAGGGGAGCTCCTGCTGAAAGTGCTTGTGGTGACTCCCGAGGAGTACTGCCTCTCAGCAAGCCCCCTCCACCGCAGAAGGGGTCTGTTTGGAGTAGGCCGACTTGCAGATAGGCAGGCCACTGACTGGGTAGGGCTTTAAAGGCGGCAACTGGCGCCTGGAAGGGCACCCGGAAACTTCCCGTGCTGGTGTTACGTGGCTGCAGCAGAAAGTCCCAGGTGGTAGGTGGACCTCTGTATTCTGCACTGGCCAGTTTCCAGATAGTCTCCAAGGACAGTCCACATCATGATAGTCCAGATGTAGATGAGGGCAGGAGTGACCACTGCCAACCCTTTCTGTTCCAGGAATGGCCACGCTTGTGCTCGCCTAGTCATATGCCATTTGTAAATAGGTTGATGGCAGTGCCATTTATCTTGCTTGGCTTGGGCTCCCTAAACCTACTGACTCAGAAGCCAATCCCCTTGAGTTCCCAACTTTCTAACGGCATGCACGTGTGATTTCTGCTGTGGGATTGCAGTCAGCACGATGGCAAAATTTCCCAGGTTGATTGGACACAGTTGACCTCTTTCCATGGCTGAACGACAGTCTGTGTCCATACTTTCTTTGTCTTAGGTCAGTACTCATCGGGAAGACAGTGTCGGCCTCAGTAGCAGCCATTCAGGGCTGTGTAACGCCATTCCTGCCCAGAGTGCAGAACTAAATCATAAAACACAAGAAAGCTATAGAGGTGAGTTAAGTCACATTTCAAGTAGTTTTTTCTTCGGTCAGGAAATTCAGCGGGAATCTTTGTGAAATGAGTAGTGACAGTAAGCCCTTTTCATGGGACTTACGATTCCCCTCCTTGCCAGCAGAGAGAGTGCTTTTGCTTACTTATTATGACTCGGATGAAGAACTTCTCACATCCCAGTTCTCCTGAACCCAGCCATGTTTAGCTTCAGGGATTAGCCCAATTCTAATATTTCTAGAGAAAGAAAACTTGTGGCTGTCTGCATTTCCCTTACCATGCGTTATTTCGTATTCCTCTGTTACCTGTCCCCCCAACACACACACACACTTTATATGTTGTCTTTCTAAACTGAAATGTTTTATCTTCCTCATGGAAGAGCTTTTGTAGCCAGCAATCATTTTGGTTGCTCTTTATGGAACAGTAATATTCTTTTTAAGGTGTACCGACCAGAACAGTACAAAGTATTCCAAGTGGGTGGCTACACTGGCAGCTTTGTTTCCAGCCCCTTCCTACTGAGTCCCAGCACACAGTATGCACAGAACCTTCTCTTTTGGGAGTGGAACCTTCTGGGGTGTTCCTCTTACCGGACTACACTGATCGGGACGTTCCACAGACGGCTTGCATTCCCCCCTAGGTGTGTCTAGGATGCAGACTAAAATAGTCTGCAGCCCCCCAGGCCTTCCACTCTCTGATTTATCTGCTTTTCTGCAATGTCTCTTGCAACGACTCTCAAATTGTAACTCTTCAAATGTGTCCTAGTTCTATTTCATAGAAATTGACCACTTTCTGTTTGCTGTAGGTTTTTCCTGAAGTGCCTCCATTAAGAGGATTAGTAACTGCTTCTTTTATCCGTTTCTCTCGTCCAGAGGCCATGGTTGTTTATTGATTGTGTCACTTAGTTGGGTTTTCTTGCAGTGCTGTCTGCTGGGCTGCCAACCCCTTCAGTAGCATTGGGCCCGGTGGAGATCAAGTCGGAGCACAAGGAGAAAGAGGAAAACGCACATGAACCTGCATCTTCTGATGACATGAAGTCTGATGATGAGTCCTCCCAAAAGGATATCAAAATCTCCTCAAGAGGCAGGACAAGGTATGTCTTTCCCAGCCTCCCAGCCCAGAAATCAGGCTCTCTATCTGGATCAGAATACCTCCTGAGTAACAAAACTAGTTTCTCAGTATATGCCAACTGCAGGGGTCAGTTGGATGTCCAGGTGAGAGAACATGAAATAGGAAAAGAATCTGGTGAGGAATCCTCTCCATTTTCAAATACATGAGGCTGGCCATCATCTTGGCAGGAGAGGCAGAGTCTTAATTACTCTTCAGTTGAGGCCTGGGCATCATGGCATACACTTCAGGTTGGGAAGCGGGCAGTCTTCTGGGTATGGGCAGATTGTCATGGTGTTGGATGAAGGTCAGGTTTCCTTCTTAAGTAGACCATACTTCTCCATGTTTAGCAAATAACAGGAATACAGGTAGTCCTTGGATTATGATGGTATTTGGGACCGGGATTGCCATTGCTGAGTGATGCGGTATTAAAGCACGATGTCACATGACCACATCACTTAGTGACAGCAATCCGGGGCAGTTCCAGTTGCCGTTGTAACCCCAAGATGCGCGGGTTGTTAAACGGGAAGAGGCGGGAGTCCCAGGTAAGGAGTGAGGGGGTGGGAGAGGTGCTGCAGGGGGCTCAGGGGAGGCATCGCAGGAGGCTGGTGGAGGCTGAACGCAGGTGTGTGAGGTGCTACGGGTGGGAGAAAAAGCGGGAGCAACTTACCAGAGCGACTTGCGACCTTCCTTGCCAGCTTCTCCATTGACTTTGCTTGTGAGAAGCTGGCAGGGAAAGTTGCAAATGGCAATCATGTGACTGTGGCTCCCTGCAATGTCGTAATCACGGGCCAGGCACCCGAATGTCCAGATCTGCAATGGCCAGAACTTCAAGGGCCAGTTGTACATCCATTTTTTTTTCAGTGCCACCATAACTTTGCACCATCGCTGAACAAATGGACGTAAGCCGAGGACTACCTGTAGTCTATTGTCACTTCGAAGGATCCCAGTCCATCTGACACAGATCAGGAGGGCTTATGTGTGATTACCTTGCTGCATTTGCTGTCTAAACAAAGCAGCACATTCCTTTATCTTAAAAAGTTTGGCTACCATGGAGATAGCTAGCAAGGCAACAGGAAAAGTCACATTTGCAACCTCACTTTGACATGCAATAGTAGCCAGATATCTCTCCCTGTATAGCCAGACCGGCTGTGGGGTTTGTGTCGATCCTCCACTTGTAAGAGACAGAGCAGCCAAAAGTAAACCCTTGGAGAACAAAAGCACCATGTCCATAGGGGAAAATGTACACGCAGTGGCTCTTAGGCAGATCTGAGCATGAAATGGTTTACTGCTGTAGGCGTTGCTTTAAAAAAACCTGCCAGTTATGGACAAGGGGGCAGTCTTTGCCGATGTGGAAGAACAGCATTGTCTCCCAATGCCTTTCCTGTTTTTGTTTCAAAAGTAGCACTAACGAAGACGAGGAGTTGAACCCAGAGCAGAAACTGGAGCGGGAGCGGGAGCGGCGGATGGCCAACAACGCTCGGGAACGCTTACGTGTCCGGGACATTAACGAAGCCTTCAAGGAGCTGGGGCGGATGTGCCAGCTTCACCTGAAGAGCGAAAAGCCCCAGACCAAGCTGCTGATCCTTCACCAGGCTGTGGCAGTCATCCTCAGCCTGGAGCAGCAGGTCCGAGGTGAGCCTTGGGGGGGGCCTTAGGCTTCCTTCGCCCAGAGCTACCTGCTTTCCATCTCAGGCTGAAGAGCGGGGCCAGGCCGGGAATGATGTGCGTCCTCAGGAAAAGAGTCCTGTCCAGGACTCTTCGGTCCAGCCAGCCCCATCTTCCTCCAGAGGGGAAGTCGTGTTCCAGGCTTCTTCCCTTCAGCTGATACTTTCTCCTCCCCAGCCCTCCGGTGGCTTCTTTTCTTTTCTTCATATAGTTTGTTTTATTAGTTGTTATTAGTTATTAGTTGACGAGTTTATTTTACGGTGACTGTCAGCAGGTAGATCTTTGCCTGTCCATTAGCGTTTGGCTGCGTGAAGTCCAGCCCTCCCATACACAACCGTGAGGGATGTTCTCCGGCTTGCCAAGCCTGAACTGCAAGGAGGGCCGCCTGTGCTTTGTTTCAGTCGTGGAACGGCATCACGGTCCTCCAGCTGGTGGAAAACAGCACCAGGATTTCCTGGGATTGGAGCAAGTTGCTTCCTTTCTACAGCCTCAGGCTCAACAATTGTGCTTTCATAGCTCTCTTCTCTTTCCCCAGATTCTGAACACTACAAACGTTACTGCCAGCATCCCATCACTTCCTGCCTGTTGTTGCCTACATTGCAAATAGAAATATAAAGGAAAGAAGGGATGAGCATTCATTAGTTTTCCTGGTTGTTTTATAGTCATAGGGAAGGCTGATTTGGAATTTAGCTTTGCGTCTGTGTGCCTGGGGTTCCAAGCCAACCCAGTCTCGCCCCTTGTCAGGCACCTTCACGCTGACCTCTGTACGTTGGCCCAGAGCCTTGTGTTGTAAACACAGGCATTTTGTGTTTAAACATTACGTCCTGTCAAGCCCATTTATTGCAATTCTTACAGGATTTGCTGGGCTTTCAGGGGTCACCAGCTGCAACTGAAAGTAAAGTTAATCTATAGCAGCAAATCCATATTCTGTCCATTTCAGATCTGAACAATCCTTTCTAGAGGCCGGGTTATAAAGCAAGCACCACATCCTACTCAAGGGGGTGTTTCTTTCTTTCTTCCGGGGGACGAGCTGGACTCAGCTGTGGGTCCCATTGTGCTTCCTCAGCTGATGCATTTCCAGGTTGTGTATGTAAATGTCTTAGAGATGCTGACAGTGTTAGCAGTAGTATCTACGCAGGGATCTGAAGCACTGACATCTCATTCATTTCATTGCTTCTGCTAGCAATCTGGACTTAATTTTTATTCTCTTTCCCTGCCTCAGGGATCTGGTAAAGAAATAAGAATTGGGAACTGTCTGTGGAGAAGGAATGCCCTTTATCACTATTTTTCAGATCCTTTCTCTTGGGTGCGATGGCTTGTTCTTCAACCCCTTGCTTAACCCTCTGGGTGACTTTGGGTTAGTCACCATCACCTTGCTTGACTCTCTCACGGGACTGTCAAGAACCATTTAAGCAGCCCTGAGTCCTTTGAAAGAAGGGTGGGTTATAAATGTAATAACTTATCCTACTGAAAATGCACTTTGAACAGGTAGGCTCCTAGTTTACAACAAGAATGGGTTATACTACGGGGGAGCAGTTTTGAAAGAAGGTAGATGAAGGGGCATAACATGCAAGTACCCCAGAGGTAGAGCCAAGTCCTCAGTTCGGCTTCCTGCCGTCAGTACTAGCAGCATAAAGAGGCATTCCTACCGTTGTTTCCTTTTGCCATTGCTTCCAGAGAGGAACCTAAACCCCAAAGCAGCCTGCCTTAAGCGAAGGGAAGAGGAAAAAAGTTCTGTTGTATCAGCAGAGCCACCAGCTCCCCATCCAGGAAGCCATCCGGCACTTAGTGAAACTGCCAACCCAGTGGGACATATGTGAACATCAACCAGGTGACGTGTTTTATGCCTGCAGGGAGGGGGGGCTGACTTTGCAGCACACGGGTGGCGGTGGGCCTAACCAAAGACTCTCCAGTTATGCTTTGTGTTAATTTGAGCCGTGGCATCACAAAACCCAGACTTGTGTTTAAAACACCATGGACTCCTTTCCTATTTTAGTCCAAGATACCTAGCAAGATTTGTTAACATTGATAATCATACTCAGCAAAGTGTATCTATTAAAAATCTACAAGAACTGAATTTGATCTGTCCATCTGCGTCGGAGTTCAGAATGTCCAGGGACTGTTTATTCTTTTTCTGCACAGTGGGGATCTAGGCCAGAGCCACTCGCAAGAGACCTAATTTTGTGGGACTCCAAGGAGCTTTGTGTTTGGCCATCATGGCCTGATGTCACCGTTCTGTCCATTTCTCCTCCTAACTTCCCAGCTGAATCACAAATGAGCCTATGTTATTCCTTGGCTTGTTTCTGATTTTTTTTGCAAAACTGCTTGGCATAGATGCGTGTTTTGCAGTCCAGGATAAAGTGACAGATGCTACTTCAGTCCAGGTCTAGAATTTTCCCTTCCTGACATGCTAAAAATTACAGCTAAGTAATGCTTTTCACTTTTATGGGGGGTGCGTGGGAACTGCACAGCTCTGGGGCCTCAGATTATGTAGCTCTGCAATAAGAGAAATGGCTCCACTGGAAGCAGATTCTCCCATGCAAAAGCCAGAGTCCAACTACAGATTAGACATCCTTTTCCAGTGTAAAATATAACTCTTAATGCTTCAGCAATGCCCTTTTAATGTCCATATCAGAATTCCAGAACCATGTGGAAGAGACCGAGAAGGGGATCTTTTCTTCACAAGGACACTCAAAATAACATTTAACAGGACCATCTACTAGGAGAAGCAACAAATCCAGAAGTGGCCATTTGAGAAAAATTACAGGTCATCCCTGCCTCAGAAGAAATGGTGCCGGTGTCTTCTTCCAAGAGAATTTTGGCCCAGAGACCGTTGGTGCATCTCCTTCTCTTCCTCTCGGTCCTCCTGTCGCTCTAGCACAATCAGAGACTGATCTCTCCACTTGGTGTGGAAATTGCCTTGTGCCTAAACTGAATTGACAAATGCATTGTAACTACAAAAGGTTATTTATTTGTAATGGAACTATAAAGATCCACAGTATGAAGGGAAACATTGATCTATTTAAAGCTGATGGTTCGGTTGAGATACTGATATTGAGAAGCGCATTCCAAGAATGAAGCCACAACTACCACTGACCCTTCACATTCCCACCATACCTACAAGTGTCTTAAAAGAAAGAAGGGACAAGGGCATGTTCGTTTCCCATTTCTTTGGCTGTCAGACATATATTTCCTTGGTATGTGTCTTGATCTTGAAGAGCACATGCCTGCCGTCAGCCCTCTTTTGTACAGCCTTTTGCTTGTTTCCTCACGGGCAGAAGCCATGGTGGAGCCACAGCGCTCCTTGAGCTGAAAGGATCTTGGTCTCGAGTTCTCAAACAGCTCCGTTCCTTCTAACGCTTGTCATGGGAATTTGTCTGTTTGGTTGAGAGGAAGCCTGTCTAGAATGGCTTTGGAGCTATAGGAACAAGCAGAGCAGATGTAAGCACAACTTGGGTTGAAATCTTGGCCTGTTATGAGAGCAGCCTGATTTTGTCCCTGGTGTGCAAGAAGAAGAATCCCCAGGCTGTCCTTATGTCTAGCTGAGTTTCTCACTTCCCTGTGGAGAAGGAAGGTTCCTCCCTTACTGGTCAGTTCCCTTTGCTGGGTGTGTGGCGGATAAGCCATCTCTCTGGGCAAGTCCACCTCTGTTGATCCTCCTTTGAACTTCCATAAACGCTGTCTTCCATTGTAGCAGCCCAGAGAAAGGACCGCCGTGGGACTGCCTTGTAATCCTAAGCATGCTCTCTCACAGGCAGCGATCGGTAAAGTTTGGGATAACTCCTCCACCTTCAAAAGTGTTGTGGCGCTAACTGGCTTATACAAGTGAGTGTGTTTCAGATGGTTCCTAACGAATGCTGGCTTTGTTGAGTGGCTGTTCTGAAGTGACCCTTGGCAAGTCTCTGTGGCCCTTTTCCTTCTGCTTCTCAGTGCTCCTCAGCCAGTGGACTTCGGCTTCGGCCGCCTGGTGGGAGGGGTCCCCTAAGCCCGCCTGGGCCCGCCTGGTGGCCTCCTGGCTCCGTTGGACTGTGCAGCGTTTGTGCAGCGTGCCCCGAAGCTTCCCTTTGTAAAACCAAGAGAGAGAACATTTGGCTTATTTTTCACTGTAGCTAGTCTTTTATACAATAATCTTGTAAGAAAGTTTCTTGAATTCTAAATATTACTCTTTCTAGATTTTTGAAATCAAAAAAGGTTTTCAGTAAAAAATTTCTTACTTTATTTTACTATATTAGGTAGTAAAAAATGTAGGGTTATTTACCATAACCTGTTCATTAATATCAGAAATTTACAATAGTATTGTAAGAGCATAGTAGGGTTCTAGCATCCTGTGTAGTACCTTATGGAGTATTGTAAGAGCTATTTGTCCGAGATGAATTGCTTCTCATCTTGTTATTCAGTTCCCATTGTTGGTTTATTGCAAATTTGTACCCCATGTCAAATTTCAAGATGTTACAGATAAACCTTTTTGACCAGCAACAAAAAGTTGGACACTTTTTCTGTCAATGTAGCAGAAAACACTATGTATATAACATTTATGTAGCAATAAATGTGCCATCCTTTTGTAATTATTGTTTTCAGTCACTTTTCTTATACCATTGTCTATTTGGGCAAATCCTTATCTGCACATGAATATAAAGAATGGGGTTCTTTAAACGATCATGCCGAGCTCTCTAATGTTAAAGATTAGCAGGGCAAGTAAGTGATTTTCAACCACGCTAATTCTAGTGTTTAAGAGGTGAAGTGAAGCCATTCCACATTTGAATTAAGATTAGCAAGGGTGCTGACTTTATTTCTCTAGATATGCACGACACTCTGTTTGCTGCTTTAAAAGACCTGGAACGTGCGCCCAGCGTGCAGGCCTGATTCAGACAGACCCATGTGCGGAGACCAGAGGGAAGTTCACAGAGGGACTTGGCTTTCCAGACGAAGGCAGGGCAAGAGGAAGGGGCGGAGTGGGAGAGGCCAGGGAGAAGAGCAGGGGGGCTGGGAGTGGACCTGCAGGAGAACACCACTGGCCGTGGGGCACGGCCCTCCAGGGAGGTTGGCCACAAGTCGCTTTGCGCCCCACTGGAACGACGGTTCAAGGGTGAAAGCAAGGATGGGGAGGAGGCACTATGGACTTTGAAGGCTGCTGGAGACTCAAGACAGAAAACGGCCCAAAGTTCTTCTAGAAGTTGCATCTGGCCACCAGGTAGAGAATGAAGTGCAGAAATTGTCCCCCAATTTGCTATTCCCACTCCATCACAACATGCAAAATCTTCCAAAGGAAGATTACAAAAAAGATAAAGCAGGCAGAGGACGGCTGCAAATGAGGTGATCCGCAGTGGCGGCGGGATCCAAGATCAAACACAACTGGCCTTTCGGGAAACAGTGCTTGCCCTCAAGTGTTTCTTGTGGGTTCCATTTGTTAACGTGATATTTATATGTCACCAACTCCACGCAGATTCCTGGTGGTTTAAAACATCCTATAAAGCCAAAAACACTTAAATTCCTTAAAAATGCCCAGAAACCAACCCTCCCTGCCTCAGCATCCAAGATCCCTGCAGTATCTATAGATCAAAAGCTCTGTCTTCACTGCTCTCGCAAACACCATCGCAGGGTGTCACCATCCAACTCCTGGCGTGCTCTGAAGGGATGGAGCGAAGGTAGAAATACATTGGGTCCTGACCACCTAACTCCCGCACATTGCAGATGTCAGGGGTGCCAGCTGTGTCGTCGCCATAAGCTCCCTAAGGACGCCTGAAGACATTTGCAATAAGCAAACAACCCAGGTGCCTTTGGCCCACTTCCGCTGCCAGAGCTGCTTGGAATCTCCATGGAGTGCCAGTAGGTGGCAGGAGGCACCATGCAGAGTGGCCTCACCCTTCATGCCCTACCGGGATGGGCCACCCTCGGAGGCTTGTGGTTTCTCCCCATGGAAGACAAGACACTAGGCGGGGTGAGCACTGGCTGTCATCGTGGAATCCCATTCTGGAAGTTGTAGCTGAAGAAAAGAGCTGATGGAGAGCTAGCTTGAATTCTAATTCTAGAGCTCTGATCCTAGCAACACCAGAATCCAAACGACGGCTTAGAATACAAGGGAGCTGCCCTGCGTGGATGTCTGTCCGGACTAGAGATAGATCAGTGAGGAATGACCACAGCTAGATTTTCCCTGAGCCAATTCGCGTGAAAGTGTTCCGGGCCTACCAAGTGGAGCCCTGGGAAGATGCCACTCAGTGAAACCGACAGAGTCTCAGGTACTAGAGGTGGTCAGGGCGTCCTTCTGTATGTTACTAAAAAGCATTATATGAAAGCCTTGACTGACCAAGCCATAACAGGAGGTGGAAGTCAATATCCATGGGCCCACCTGGTGATGACCATAGTATAAAGAACATGGATTATCGGGTGAAATGTAATGGAGAAGGAGGAGGAAGGATGCAACAGTTCTGCATGCAGGTGATGTGATCTTACAAGTGGTGTTGGTGAACACATGCAGGGCATTGAAGATGTAGGTTTAATTAGGAAGAAAGGGCTAAACTCTGCCATCTAGGTTGTTTCGGGCCTGCCTGAAAGTAGAATTCTGGGTGATAATGGCATTTTATGTTCCAGTGAACGATGAGATGGGAAATTGTGTAACACTTTGAGTAAGTCCCATCCGGGTGAAAAAATCATTTAGTTAGTGATATGAATGGAAATGTGAGAATGAGATGATGGGGCCATTTAGAGATCCAAGAATGAATGAGGATGAAGACTAGTCAGAAAAAGGTCTGTTGGTTTCGGGTGGGTAACTTAAACAACAGTCTAGTCGCAATTATACCTGGCAAAGAAATAAATCTAAATGGTTAACTGGTTTGATTGTTTATGATGAAAGACAGAGAGTTAATAAAGGAGATGCTGTGGTGATGAGAGGTTCCGGATGTGGAACACCATTTTTGTGGAGTCAAATGTGGATCTTTGGAGGAAAAGGGGCGTGGAAGAGAAAGAAAGGACGCTACAGCAAAGTATGAGTCCTGTATGAAAACAAGTGTCAATCTCTCAGCCCAATTAATGGAAACTGGGCGTGGGGGCGGTTCTGGATTTGCCATTTCCTTTTTCCAGGACATTTTCTCAGTTTAGCCTGTAGCCTCTTCCAAATACTGAGGTCTGGCCCACTTGGCTTCATGAAATTAATGGAGTTCAGACTGGGGCTGCTCCTAACTGGGCTGCGCTACAAGACCAACAAGTGTGAACAGCTGACACTGAAAGGAGGTGGTATGATATTTAAAACACCAAGTTACATTAGGAAAGCTAATAAAAACCCTGCCTAAAAATAATTTAGGAAAATGGTTAAGCATATTTTTAAAAAAGGCAGGTGCCCACTGTTGGCCACAGTGGGGGCAGAGGGGTGCTCCCGTGTGGGGAAGCCCAGGGGGTTCCCTCCCTCCCTCCATCCCTGAGTGCCGCGGTCTGCATTTCCAGGAAGTGCCTGGAATGTTTCCCTTACAGGCAAACCCTCAAGGGGCAGAAAGGGGCCCTCTGAACGGCTCTGGCGAGGGAGGGGAGCCAGCAGAGGGATCTGGGCACCCCGCTTCTCTGCTGACGTGGCCTCTGGCCCAGGGACCCCTGGGGCCTGCTCTGGAACCCCAGCGGGATCTGCAAGGTCAGGCTGGCCACGGAGAAAAAAGAGCCCCAGAGCCCCAACCTGCATTACCTCCATTTCTCCAACGCCCTGGTGGCCTTGCAACTAAAATACTCACCCCCCACGGTAATCCTTATGCTAGCTAGCTAGATAAGTTTTAAAAAGTTGAGATATTTTCAGAAACGAGAGGAGCAGTTACATTTCCTAGCAAAACTGCAAAAACCAGGACCTTGGCCGCGTTCTCTGCCTCCCCGTGGACTAGATTAGGCTGGGTGGGGCTGCTTTGAAGAACCACCTCTCAGGAGGCTGGAACGGGAAGGGCCATCTGCTTCATTGCGAGCCGGATCTTCGGAATCTGCCATTGGGGTTGTGGAGGTGAACGGGGCTCTGAGCGGTTGTTAAAACGATAAAATAAATGCAAGTCTCACCTAGGTCGACATGTGCTGCGTGTGCAGGCCAGCAACAACCCAAGGTCACACCGAAGGCCAAGGCCCCACTTTCTGTCGTCCCAGCAGCAGGATCCAGATAAGGGCCTTCAGCCAGAGGAACGCGCGCCCCAGCGGAAGGTTAGAAACTCCCCCGAGAATAAGAGCATGGGACCGTGGCGGCCCCAGCCGTTGGTCAGGAATGCTTTCAGCCAGCCTCCCGGCTCGAGCAGGCCACTCTGATTCCAGGGTGGAGCCAGGTTCCCTGGGCCCGGGGCCACAGCCCGGCCGGTGGCTGACGGGGAGCAACCTCCCTGCTTGGGCCAGAGGTCTTCACAAGCCGCTCGGGTTTCCTGGGCTTTGAACGCTCCACGCTGAGAAACACAGACGCGGGGAAGTGACAGCCGTTGGCCCTTGGTAGCCTTATAAATGTGGCATAGATGACGGGGAGAAACAGAGACCCAGTTTGGGGTCACAGTGAAGGCACCAGGCCAGAAACCAGGAGACCCCGATTTCCAGTCCTGCCTCAGGCACCAAGCCAGCAGGGTGTCCTTGGGCCAGTCCCGCTCTCAGCCCTGGGAAGAAGCAGGCAAGGGCCAACCACTTCTGAAATCTTGCCAAGAAAACTGCAGGGACTTGTCCAGGCAGTCGCCCCACGCGTGCGCATGCGCACGCACACACACACACACACACACCTTGGAGAAACACCTGCCCAGTTTCAAGGGATCACAATCGGGAGGTTGAGTCGCGGCAACTGGACTTCTTGTCTTTTGGCTTCTGTCCAAGCAGCTTCTTCAGCCCAGAAAGCTGGTTGGGGGGACCCCATCAGTGTCTCCCAGGGGGGCTGCGTGTCTCACTGACCTGACGGGCTCGTTGGAGGGACAACAGGAGAGAGATCAGCGGAGCCTCTGGGACGTGGGTGCCTCCCTCCTAACCCCTCCCTCTCCCCAAGTGGGCCGTTGAGGGCCGCCCCCCTGGTGACCTTGCAGAGGGGTCTTAATCCTCCTGGGGACTGACGAAAGAGCCGCATGAGAAATGGGGGTCGAGTTGTGTCTGAGGCCTCCTCCTCTGCTGAGGAAAGGGTTTCCCGCTCTGGCGCAAATGCATTCCTCC